AACTGGACCAGGCAGGTTGGGCAGGCGGATCGGACATGCGGGTCGGGTCGACCCGGTTCTGGAAAATTCCCTATAACAAAACAAGCCCCACGCGCGAGTGGCGGCGCGTGACGTCGGCGGGGAGCTCGGAGTTACCGCCTGACTACTCCCTTTTCATCCACTCACCAATTACAACCACAATCAATAAAAAAAATCAGCCAAAATCCATCAAAATTAAAAGAAAATTACTGAAATGCTTACCTACTCCTGTGATCGACGAAAACGACGACAATGTGCGATGAACCTGGTCGGGTTTTGGTCGCATAGAGTTGAGGAACTCGAAGAGAATGACGATGAGGTGCGACAGTCATCGGATCGGTCGAAAAATATGTTTATCCGAAGAGGATGAGAGGTTTTGATGGAGCTTTAAACGCTCCTAGATGGCGGACGGCAGGGTATTACGACGAATGACTGGCTGGGTTTGCTTCGCGACAATCTGGCGCTTCAGATGGTACTGGCGGTGACAACCACCAATAACCGATGAGGCCGAATCGGAGAAGGCAACAGGCGATTTTCTCACCATTTTGGGTTTACGTTTCGAACTGGAGAAGACGATCGCGGGGGTTTATTTTTCAATGCCCATGAAAAATGGAATAATTTGGGTTCCAGTCCCTGAACTTTCCACATGTTTCAAAACCAATCTACAACCTTTAGAATTTTGCAATTTGGTCCCCAACTTTTCCCTTGTTACTCTTTTAATTCGATACTTTAAAATTAATAAATTTTAGCCCCTAAATTGAGGGTGTGACACACATGTGGCTCGATTGGGACCAGATTCGACGTGGCCAACTTGCTTGATGGTGGAGCCTCCACGTAGCATCTGGATCGTTGGATGTCTTGGTGTTGTTTGGGTAAGGCAACGACATGGTCACATTAGGGTAAACAAACCCTAGGTCAACCCCTCTTTGAGTCATTGTATCTCTCCCTCATCCGACGGTTGGGACTTGGCAACGTTGGAAAGAAGAGGAAACTAGAGTTTTTTCAAACCCTAGCACTTGGGCTTACGGGTTGGAGATTTGTGACGTTAGGACCTGCTTTGGTTTGGGTTATGGCTACTGTTTGGGCCTGTAATAGAAATAATAAGGTGTTAAGCATTTATTTTAGATTTTAACTTATGAATGTGTTAGATTATAATTGTATACATATTACAACCCATATATAATATAAGCATAGATAATAATATATATCTAACTAATGATAATAACTAACGATAATATATATATATATAAATATAGATAAACACACAGATAACTAACTAATAGTTAACATATATAAATAACTAATTATAATAATAATATATATAAACCCAAGCGAAACTCAAACGAAGCCTCCCCGGACAAAATGAACATCTATAGATATTTTGTTAATAATTTAGAACTGAACACTTTTTGTCATCCTAACTTAATGCAGTGGGCAAGGGTAAAGATCGTCAAGCTGAAACATGCAATAGCTAAGGCCTGAGTGCTTGAAACACAGTAAATACTACACTGGTTTTTTTTTAATACCGTATTGCACTTACCCTTTTATTATCCAAATCTCAATTGTTTAATGGGTTCTTAATTATTTGATATTGGAGTCATGAACTAACTTTTTCTTAGATAATTAAAACAATGGTAAAGTGTGAGATTTACCCAACGTACAATCCATATCCCTATAAATTAAAAATTAAAAATAGGGTTTATAATATAATAGATCTTGTACTTTTTCGACATAATAAAATGTTTTTCTTCTTTATTCGTAGTTTTTTTTTCTTTTAAGATTTTTACGTAAATTTTAATATTTATTATTTTTCTATTTAATTGTATTTGTTTGTTATTAATGGTTAGGATAATCATGACATATGGAACAGTGGACATGTCAATTATTTAAGCGGCCTGTTACTTGCGAATTAGAAATGGTGTTCCATATTTCAATGTTTGTCATTATTGTGTACAATTAGAAAAACACTTGCGGAATTATTGTTGGCACGTTTCTTTATGGTATTTGATTATTTTTATTTGCGATCATCTTTGTGTCTTGGGGATGTTGTTGTTAGAGATAGATATAAGATTTTATTTTATAGAGAAATAAACTTATTAAAGTTTAGAAGGGATAAAAATATGTTATGAATAAAAATACACAAAGTCTAAAATATAAGAAAATTTAAAAATTTTAAGAGAATGATTGTTCTCATTTATTTTTTTCGGTCCATCCCTAATTGTTGCTACTTCATGGTTCTCCATGCACCATAACCTTCCCAAATGATGTGTAGACCTTATGTTTCATTTTAAAATAAGCCCCTAAAATATTTATAATAAAGATTAATTATCAAATTTGAAATTACGAGAGATTTAAAAGGTCTTTTTATTAAAATTCATCGTGAAAAACAATTAAAGATATTGTCTAAATCTTCGTTTACAACTTTCTCTTCTATTTTCCCTAAAATCAAATAAAAAATTTATTTTTTATTCGAACAAAAATGTAATTAAAACACAAATATTATATATAAACAGACTTAAATAACATTCATATATAAGACATATAAAATCCCTAAATTTTAAAATCTCGTAATGAATCACATGCCACACTTACGATAGACGGGCCTACCATCACCACAATCACGGTGAGATATTTCTTCTTCTTTTTCTTCATGCCCCCACGATATGATGTTGGGTGTGATGTAACAAGAAAGAAAAGCAATGTGGTGTCTTTGTTAGGCTGGACACTATTGTAAGAGAACCTGCACAAAATTCCTGGCGTTTCTAAGTTAGACACATATCGTTCTAGGAAAACAAAACAAAGAAGAAAAGCTTAAAGATAAAACTTGACTCAATTCGAAAGTTTATAGGTTTAAAATTATTAATTTTAACTCAAATTCAAATTCAAAAATTAAAATTTAATTCGAACTGTAAACATTTTTAGAAACTCAACTAAACTTTAAAAAACTCGATTTAAGCTCAAATATGAAGCTACATGTTTAGTTACCGGGTGGAATAGGAAAAATTCAATAATTCATTCAAAAGAAAATTAGTCCAAAGACAAGGAGACAGGGGGCACGTGAAATATGGTTGATCACGTGAAGTACACGTTTTGTTTGGTCCAAACTTTTTCTTTTCAATGCAAGGATTTTGATTCTGTTGGGTTAAATGTTGCCACTTGGCGGTGTGGGTCCACTGAGGGCCCTCAGACCCACGTGAGCGTCTTAGATTCCATGATGGGGCTCGTACAATATTTTGGAACTTTCAATTCAGTTTCGAGATAATGAAAATGATTCGTCACTTTCTCCTCCTTCATCGCCATTGCTAATTGTCGATTGCCTTCAACTTATAAACCCATTTACAAAGCCTTCAACTTATAAACCCATTTACAAAGTTTTATTTCTCTTTTATTATCGCACGAATAAAGCGGTATTAATAATTAAAAGATTTATTATTATTTTTTAATGTTTCGAGTTCGAGCACAATATATGTATATGAGTTTTTCTTGTTAAAGAATTGTGAGTATTTGATTAAATACTACCTGATATTTAGAAGTGTAAATGAATAGAGCGTTCGATGAACTGTTCGTGAATTGTTCATATAATGTTCGTTCGTTAAATTAAATAAACGAGTATGAACAAAAATTTTTATGTTCATTTAATAAACAGACGAACATAAATAGAAGTGTGTTTGACACTTTTAGGAGTTTGATTATAAGCCCGTTTATCGAATTATTTGTTTATGTTCATGAACAAGTTCGCTTATCCGGTTCTCTTTTTTTTTACATTTTAAATATTGGTGAAGGTAGATACTAAATTGAACACATGATAAAAGTTGAAATTTAAATTGTGGATGTTAAGGAGTTTAAGCACTAGTAGTGTAATTTTATCATTTTCCATTAACTTGTAAATGAAAGGGTAAAACTAAAAATTAAATATATAAATGAACGATAAACGAACAATAACAAACGCTAAGCGAACATTAAATGATCGCTAAACGAACATGTTCGTGAATGCTAAATAAGCACATTCGTGAACATAAAAATGAACGAGTTCGTGAACATTAAATGAATATGTTCTCGAACAATAACTAAATGAACATGAACACTTTTAAAAATAAATAAATGAACACTACCACAATAATAAAAATTTAAACGAACACGAACCGAATATGAACACTTAAAAAATAAACAAACGAACATGAACATATTTTTGTTCAAACACGATTAATTTACAGCCCTACTTATATTCACCCCTAATTTATAAAAAAATAATATCACAACTTTCAACATATAAAGTATTTATTTATTTTACGTTGAATAATATAACGTCATAGTTTATGATGTTCACGTATAAAAATGTAAATACACAGAATACCGAAGGAAAAATACTTTTAAAAATCATGAACTAAAAAAATAAGAATTACAAAGATTAAAATACATATCCAGACGCTGAAATTAAAAGAAAAAAAATGAACAAAAGAGTTCCATAGTTCAAGAACATCTGTTTTTCTTCCATTTCGATTCCTCTGCCTTTCTCCCCGGTGACTAAAGATGCTTCCATAATTCAATTTTTTCGCGGAACACAAACTGGACTAGAGGGGTTATGGCCTCCCTAAAATTTTAAAATATTTTAATCTTGACTTTTAAATTTAAAAAAAATAATTTAACTCCCAAAATTTTTAAAAATTCAAATTAAATTTTAACTTTTTAGTGTTCTTAATTAAATATTCTCTCATAATTTTTAAAATTTCTTATTAAGTCTCTCAAAATTTCAAAAATTGTAGTTAGACTCAAATTTTATTTTAGAAAAAATATAAATTAAACCTTTCAAAATTTTTAAAAATCTTAATTTAAATCTCTATTTTTTTTAAAAAAAAAATTGTTTTAAACTCTATCACCAAATCTCACGTACCAATCTCGAGAGATGGTCTAGTTCGTTCACAATGAACGTTTTCCCCTGGGGAGTGAGTACCTAGTTAAAACACCATTTCAATGGTCCCAATTATTATTAAGAGTATCTTCTTTGGTGGTGGGGCAATGAACCTGGCCACCTTTCTCCGGTGTGGATACCTAAACTCCACGCAACAACCTATTTGAAGATGAGACAGGCTTCGAATTATTGTGGACGCCTCATTTTTCAAACCCAGGGATCTTCGAATCCCACCGTCTTATCAAAGTTGTATAATAATTTCATAAACTTGCGTCTGGCGATTGATTTGATGCCCCTTTTTGAAGCATTTTTAGCAGGTAAGTGTCGCTTCTAAACATGCCCATGTGAGGTTTCCTTGTTGGTTGTGTTTCTTTTCTATCTTCTTCTTATTCTTTTTTCCCTTGTCCTTCATCGGCATCACCATCATTACTGTTCTTCCTTTGGAAATATAATGAAAGATGAGAACGAAGATTAAGAGGAAGAATCTCAGTGTTGATTATAATGGATGTAGTTTATAGGTAGTCCAGCAACAGTCAGCTAAAAAATTCCATCGAGGATGACAGGACACTTGCCTAATTTACCTTCCATGTACGTTTTTCAAGCATTTTTAGCTATTGCATTTCCATGGTGTACTGTTTTCCTTTTGTTATATATATATATATGTAGTATTCTCTTTTATGTATTGCAGTTATTGTAATAATGCAGGCGTGATCCTGATATCATGGAGCTGGTATGGGAAAATGGTGAAGTTCTCATTCGAGGTTCATGGTCGAAGATAACTAAGACGACTTCCCCGTTCTCGTCACATTATTTGTCTCGATCGAAGTCTCGAATTCAACTAATCGAAGGGAAAACTTGTACCGCCAGTGGATCAAAGGATGGGGTTGCAGATTCTACGTTAGCCGAACCCATATCGGGTCTCTCCAGTGCTGTTCTGGGATCGGATAAAAGATGTTACCATAAACAAAGCGACTTGCCTAAACTCATAGCAGACCACCAGGTACACGGTTCTTCCTTGAAGCAGCAGCATGAAACTTGGCATATGGGATCGAAGGAGGAGAAAGATAAGGTGAACTTTTCCATGTTCTTAAGCTCCGGTACAACAAGAGCAATAAGCAGTCAAGGACTAGCTGCAGGAGCTGAGGATTTACGAGGCAATAATGTCAAATCTTTGCCTCCAAGTGGTGATCCCTTGGAAAACGAAGGGAATTTAATGGCTAAGAAAATGAAGTCACCTCAAAAAGTGTCGCATCCTGATGAACAATCCGAAGCCGTTCCGAATACGAGGTTACCTAATGAGGTTCATGAATCCTCAACCTTAGCACCGGATAATACAGGTTTTAAGGGAAATCCTGAGCAAATGGTTGCATCGTCTTCATTGTGTTCGCGTGGTGCTTCAAACTGTCCAACATACCCTTTGAAAAGGAGATATGAAGACACTGATCTCAGTAGTGTATAATTTCTCATCATCATTTTTCTTCTTTCAATAGCTTTTCTCATTTAACTTATAGGATTTTCATATGTGATGCAGAATACAGATATGGAAGAAGAACCAGAGGTAACGAGGGGAAGCAAAGGTGCTAAGGGAAAGAGAAAAACAGAAGTCCACAACCTATCTGAAAGGGTAAGATCAGTAGTACTAGTAACTTACGTGATACTTCGCTGCCAAAAATGAAATCTGATAAGCTGTTGGGTGTTTGTTTCCTGCTCATATATATAGGAGCGAAGAGATAAAATCAACAAGAAGATGCGTGAACTGAAAGACCTCATACCAAACTGTACTATGGTGGATAAAGCTTCGATGCTTGATGAGGCAATCGAGTATCTAAAGACCCTTCAGCTTCAAGTTCAGGTAGTCTTTTCTAGTTCTTCCATTACAATTTATTCTAATGTGTAACCAGAGCGCTAACCATGGGATGTTGGAGCAGGTGATGTCAATGGGAAATGGGATTTACATGCCACCGATGATGTTTCCGTCGCCTTGGACAATGCAACATATAAATGCTCAACATTTGGGTGGCTACTCTCCCATGGCTGTTGGGATGGGTATGAGACTGCAAATGGGAGTCGGCTGCGGCGCTACACCGCAGTTTTCGACTTCACTAATGCCAGGAACAGCACCTATAACTGGGATCCCAGAAGCTACACTCAACATGCTTGGGTTAAGACGTTCATCTTTTGTATCTTCGGCTGGTAGTTTCATCCCACAATCGGTCCAATCTCAATCTGCGGCGACTAGGGTGACACAAGTGGATCATATTCCAGGTGGTTCTAATCCAACACATTAACTCAATAATGCTGAACGGTTCCTTATGACGTTTAAAAAGACTCCAGGTTTCCTGTAATCAGGTTAGCTCACTTACCATAAACAGGTTATGTTCTCTTGCAAAAGGGGAAATTTTGATATATATGGTTTCCTGTTGCTTGTTTCAGCTGTTACAGTCATTGAATGAGGCATTCATGGAAGGTCCCTTTTCTCAATCAAGGCATTGAAAATGTATTTTCCTAAAGAAAAGCGCTGTTTTCTATTTTGTACATTACCAAAGGAATGTACAAGCCTCATTTTCCAGCTATTTAGCTTTTGAGCTGAATTAAATAAACATATTGATGATAAAATGGAGTCTTAGTGTTTACTAGATCAGCTTTAATTAACAATTAACAAATAATGAATGAGTGGTACATTAATTATGGTTAATGAGAAGGTTGTATTGGTTGTCTTACTCAAAAAAGGACATGAAATTTTATGTTAGAGAAAGAAGAATTTATAAAATTTTAGGATTAGACAAATAGATTATCAATAGAAAATATGTAAAAAAAAAATCTAAATTTTAGATGCTATTGAAAATTTTAGATGATGATTGCCCATATCCAGCTCCCTCGGTCTATTTCTACTATCACCTAAAGACTCAAACATTTTATGGTATAATTCACCCTTCTGTGAATTTGTAGATCCTTCGAATGAACTTATGTTTCATAATTAGGAGTCCCTTTTTGTTAGAATTATGATTCAATTTCTTCTTGGATCAGGCCAAGAAGTTGCAAACAAAACATTGGTAATAGACTAATAGTGTGAGGCTTGCAGGGAAGACGAAAAAGTATAATCCGTTTAAAATTCTAACTCGTCTATCACCTTTATATTGATTAAGAAATGAAATTCAATTAGAGTAGAATTCTTCCTATGCTAGTTTCCTTTGGTTTCTATAAATAGAAACTAGGGAATAGATTTTTGAAATGCAACAGTTGTAATATAAATCTTGTACTTCTTCCATATAGTGAACTTTTCTTCTCTTCTACTTATAATTTTTTTCTTTTGAATTTTCTATGTAAATTTTAGTGTTTTTTTTATTTTTTTATTCGATCATTTTCGTTTGCTGTTATTTTATTTGACAGCTACAAAAACTTTATTTAAGCTATGCATGCTCTATATATCTATAGGCTACTTTCTTCATTTATCTTAATTCTCATATGCTTTGAAATATCTTCGGTACTGAGCTAAATGGACCGCTTTGTACATGTTCTGGTCCCTGCAACTTAAATTAGGCACTTAAGAATTTTTAAATTAGGCACTTAAGAATTTTATGGTGGATGTTATAGTGATGATTAAGAGGGGTTACTACAAGAAATTTATAGTATTGTAATAAATTTAGTTTTGTTAAAAATAATTTTGTCACTATTATTAGTTTTTTTTGACAAAATAAATAATCGTCGCATTAAATTAAAAAAGAGATACAATTGTGACAAAAGCTAAAATCTTCATAATAATTTATCATAATTAGAAAACATATGTAACATATAGTAACAAAATAAATTTTATTACGAATTTTTGTCACAAATGTTTCCCTTCAATTTTTTTGGCGTCAAATTAAAGGCATATAGTGATAAATTTTGTAAGTAAAAATGTTAGTAACTGTAATAGAAAAAATTGTCACAACAAATAATAAGATTTAGATTTGATGTGATAAATTTTGTTTGTGATTATATATTTTAATTATAGTGACAAAATGTATATTCACATATGATTATCTCCAATTTTTGGTACAAAAATAAAATCATATAGTGACATGATTTGTAAATATAAGTTATAATTATTATTACAAAAAACAATATGTCACAAAAATAATGAGATTTCAGTTTTTAGTAAAAAAAAAAGTGTTTGTTGTTATATGTTTTAATTATAGTGACGAAATATATTGTCACAAAGATTTCCCTCCATATTTTTTTACACCAAAAAGTCATATAGTGACAAATTTTATAACTATAAGTGTTATTAATTATTACATAAAACAATATCACAAAAAATAATTATATTCACGTTTCCGTGACTAATTATATTTGTAGTTATAAATTATAACTATAGTGACAACATATATTGTCATAACTATTTTTCTCCACTTTTTTTGTTTCAAAAGTTATATTGACAATTTTTATAATTATAATTTATAGTTATTGTTATAGAAAAAATTATCACATCAAATAATTAAATTTCAGTTTTTTGTAATTTATTATTTTTGTATTTATATATTTTTAATAATTATGAAAAATTATACTATCAGAACCATTTCTCCCTATTTTTTAGAGTAAAAAATGTTATATAGTAACAAAATATATTGTCATAGAGATTTTTTTTCCATATTTTTTTGCACCAAAAAAATTATATAGTAACAATTATTGTAACTATAAGTGTTTATAATTATTACAAAAACATTGTCACAAAAAATAATGGTATTCACATTTTTTTGACAAAAAATAATGGCTCATCAAGGACGCGATTAATGAGATCATCAACATCATGTAAAACATCATCGACCTGAGAAGGAGTCGAAGCTGCTTGAGATGAACAAGTTATGAAAAACAAAAGTATAAATTTGACAAAATATATACGTTAACATACATTATATATTTATAATTAATCCAACATGCTAGAAAAGCAAACATATATTCATGTACGATTAATTTTAAACTATTAATTAACCATGGAATGAAATGCAAGATTCAGAAATTATCAGTCACAAATATAAATACGGAGAAGTTAACATTTAAACTAAAATCTGGAACCAAAACAAACACATAATTAAAACTTGACTGCTCAAAGATGAATACCAACACAAACCATACAATAAAACCACGAAACTATTTAAGCATTAATTTCAATGTTCCAACCAGTTGAAAATAGGCGAGATGCCACAATCACATATAATGAACTTGATTGCGTGATTTGTCCGGCATTAGGAGCCCTCCTATCAACTGTAGTATGCATGTCCGTGCATACATTTTTTTATCTACTCCTCTGAGACGTCGTCACTTAAATGCTTAAAATTTGCATCCAACCAATTTAACGAAATCCGACCACCGTTAAAATTTGGTGGGTCACCTCCTAGATATTCCTAACAAAATGAATTCCAGTTATTGAGTGCCACCCCTGAAAGAACATCTCCATCTACCAGAAGATCCAAGTGCATGAAAACATCCTGCAGCGTAATCGTGCACTCTTCGCATAAAAGATAAAATGTGTGTCTCCGGTCTCCACCGCTCGACTAATGCATAAATCAGGTTGTATTTTACGTTACAGTGGCCTTCATATATAGCCACGTAACCGAATCTAGCCTCGACTAAATATGGCCAGACACGAGTTGATATATCTAACTTAAGATTGCGAATAAAGGGATCTAATATATGGTTTCTCTCCTATTTTAATAAATATTACATAAATTAATATGTAAACTAATAATAATAAATAAATAAATAAATTATTTCTAATAACTAAAATTAAAATAGAATTTAAAAATGTTACCGTAACAGCAAAATGCCTCGAGATATAATTTCCATTCAAATGAAACATACCACCTTCCATTTTATATCTGTAAAAAAATTAATATAAAACAATTTAATAAAATACTAAAATATTAATTTATTAGAATATAGTATAATATATTACATTCTAAATAAAATTTGATCGGGTTTTAGCTTTAAGAGAGTTTGATTTTTGATATGGTTTGAGAGAATTTGATTTTTGATATGGTTTGAAAGGATTTGATAGGTTTTAAGAGGATTTGGTGTGATGAAAATAGTATAGAGGGGGGTATTTATAGGTTGCGGGATTAGATTTGGGCTGATGAGTATAATTAATTAGGGGGAGTGTGAATGGTTGAAATTTAAATAAAAATCTTTTTGGCGCACTTGTACATCCGCGTCTTACGTTGAAGTGATGTTAGTTGGGGTAAGGCGCGGATCATCATCCGTGTTTTACTACATGTGACGTCACATCAACGTGATGATCCGAGCCTTTTTATAAAAAATACTTAATCAATAATATTTTCTCTAACGATGTCTGACACGTAAATAAAAAAATTAGGTGATTTTTCGGTAAATATGCCTTGGATACACGCGGCTTATCTCATCCGGAATTTGAATTTTGACTACATTCTCAGGATTACTTTGATTTGTTTTAGTTTAAAATTGTTGGGTCCCATACTTTTGTTCGGGTCCCGATACATTTCATTGACCAATACATATTGCGAGCATCTAAGTATGACATCTATTTGTATCGTGGTTTGACCCGAATAAACGAGTGATGGATTACACTAATTATTTTCTCACAATCAATTAATACGCGATGGCGTCCATGGTTTTTTCATTACATTGTTACATATTGGAATTCGTTAAACGACATAAATAGCAGGTTAATTAATATGATAATGCAGCCATATTTATCATACAATAAGATATTTCTTAGCTTATTCCTCGTGGTATTCCTAAGGCGGTTATCATGGGTACGTCCTTTGACATGCATGCATCTACATGCAATGTGTTCCCATGTTATTTCATGTTCCCAATTGCTTATTGTGTTCGGGAAGTTCTGTTGTACGGTGGTTAAAAACGGCTAAAAAATAATGTGGTTGGTTAAACAAGTGATCGATTAAAATTTAGACCGGTTATATTATATCATTTAACCGAAAATATTATCAAGTACAATAACATATTAGGTAGCGCTTATATAATGTAATATGTATCGCTTCTATTAACATATTTTCTAACTAAACCGGTATATTTATACCGGTAACATTGTAAATTTATCTATTACATTATAATTATCGGTTTCAATGTTTTCAGGATAGATACAATTTTAAATGTATCGACACTTTATGCGTGCACCTCGTTGGGCATTCATTCTGGAAAAAAGTATCAACACAATCTTAAAACGTGTCGATATATTATGTAGACCTATTTTCTCATAAAATCGGTATATTTCTACCCCGTACATTGTAAATTTACCTATTATATTGTAATTATCAGTTTCGATATTTTTGAGATCGATACTTTTAATAAATGTATCGACACTATGTGTGCACCCCGTTTGGCATTCATTCTGGACAAAATGTATCGACACAAATTTAAAAAGTGTCGATACATTATATTGACCTATTCTCTCATAAAACCGGCGGTTACATAGTAAATTTACCTATTACATTATAATTATCGTTTTCGATGTTTTTTGGATCGATAATTTTAATAAATGTATCGACACTTTATGTGTACACCCCGTTTGGGCATTCATTCTGGACATAAGTA